GGGAAGCCCTAACATTCTTTTTAAAAATCATTTAATTTTTAATTGAAGTATAATTGATTCACAATGTTGTGTTAGTTTCAAGTATACAACAAAGTGATTCAGGTTAATTTATTCTTTTAGTTACTGACATAATCATTCTGGGCAATAATTTACTATTTTACACATAATGCTCTTTTACATGCTCAAATTTCATGAAACTAGTTTAGTCACATCCATTATATATGTCATTGATGTCAGCAGCTTTACTGTTACTGTTGTTTTCTTTTATTTAACAGAATATTCCCAGTTACATCATTTTTACTTCCATTAACCTTGTATGAGATACAGCACTTAATGTCCTAAGAAGATGCTATCATAGGAAAAGCCCATCCCAAGACACAATTATGCTTTTTATGGCTTGAGGGCAGTTCTCTTTTCCACTGTTGTTCTCATCTCTAAAATTCAAACAAATATTGAATTATTTTAAAAAAACAAACAACAAAAATCCCTTTCTTATAAAAAATTAAAAATTCATGCAAAAGTACACCTGAGGTATGATGGATCCCCAGGATTCTTGACAAGATAATCCCATGGATGTAGGAGTCTGGTGGGCTACAGTCCATGGGGTCAAAGAGGTAGACACAACTTAGTGACTGAGCACACTACATCCAAGGTATCAATACACCCTAAGAGTAAGGAATTATCTAAACTTTGATATATACATTAGACACTTCATTAAAGTATCAGCTTATAAAGCCACATCCTCCTTAACAACATTAACTTTAAAAGTAGCACTAAAACAGTGTTTTTTTTTAATTGCATGTCATTTTGCTATATGTAGACTCAAGCTTTGGCTCATTTAAAGTTACACAAGCCTGAGTAAGGGAACAGGACCAAATTTTTGAACCATACATTGAACTAATTTGAGACTATCAGCTTATTAGCAAAATCAGTATGAACTTAGGTGTTGTACTTAAAGAAAAAGTAAGTTAGGACAGGTGGTCTCTACACTGGGTATCTGGAAACTGCCAGGGTGTCTCAGCACTGTAGCTGTGTATCATTGCTATAAGAGTTGAACAGTGAAAAGTATTTCAGTTCAGTTCAGTTCAGTCACTCCATCGTGGCCCACTCTTTGCAACCATGGACTGCAGCAAGCCAGGCCTCCCTGTCCATCACCAACTCCCGGAGTTTACTCAAACTCATGTCCAGTGAGACAGTGATGCCATCCAACCATCTCATCCTCTGTTGTCCCCTTCTACTCCTGCCTTCAATCTTTCCCAGCATCAGGGTCTTTTCCAGTGAGTCGGCTCTTCGCATCAGGTGGCCAAATTATTGGAGCTTCAGTTTTAGCATCAGTCTTTCCAATGAATATTCAGGACTGATTGCCTTTAGGATGGACTGGTTGCTGTCCAAGTGACTCTCAAGAGGCCTCTCCAACACCACATTTCAAAAGCATCAATTCTGCGCTTAGCTTTCTTTATAATCCAACACTCACATCCATACCTGACCACTGGAAAAACCATAACTTTGACTAGATGGACCTTTGTTGGCAAAGTAATGTCTCTGCTTTTTAATATGCTGTCTAGGTTGGTCATAACTTTCCTTCCAAGGAGCAAGCATCTTTTTAATTTCATGGCTGCAGTCACCATCTGCAGTGATTTTGGAGCCCTGGAAAATAAACTCTGCCACTGTTTCCATTGTTTCTCCATCTATTTCCCATGAAGTGATGGGAACAGATGCCATGATCTCAGTTTTCTGAATGTTGAGCTTTAAACCAACTTTTTCACTCTCCTCTCTCACTTTCATCAAGAGGGTCTTTAGTTCTTCTTCACTATCTGCCATAAGGTTGGTGTCATCTGCATATCTGAGGTTATTGATATTTCTCCTGGCAATCTTGATTCCAGTTTGTGCTTCTTCCAGCCCAGAGTTTCTCATGGTATACTCTGCATAGAAGGTAAATAAACAGGGTGACAATCTACAGCCTTGACATGCTCCTTGGAACTAGTCTGTTGTTCCATGTCCAGCTCTGTTGCTTCCTGACCTGCGTATAGGTTTCTCAAGAGGCAGGTCAGGTGGTCTGGTATTCCCATCTCTTTCAGAATTTACACAGCTTATTGTGATCCACACAGTCAAAGGCTTTGGCATAGTCAATAAAGCAGAAGTAGAGGTTTTTCTGGAACTCTCATGCTTTTTCAATGATCAAGCGGATGTTGGCAATTTGATATCTGGTTCCTCTGCCTTTTCTAAATCCAGCTTGAACATCTGTAAGTTCATGGTTCATGTATTGTTGAAGCCTGGCTTGGAGAACTTTGAGCATTACTTTACTAGTGTGTGAGATGAGTGCAATTGTGTGGTAGTTTGAACATTCTTTGTCATTGCTTTTCTTTGGGATTGGAATAAAAACTGACCTTTTCAAGTCATGGGGCCACTTCTGAGTTGTCCAAATTTGTGGCATATTGAGTGCAGCACTTTCACAGCATCATCTCTTAGGATTTTAAATAGCTCAACTGGAATTCCGTCACCTCCACTAGCTTTGTTCGTAGAGATGCTTCCTAAGGTCCACTTGACTTCACATTCCAGGATGTCTGGCTCTAGGTGAGTGATCACACCATTGTTATTATCTGGGTCATGAAGATCTTTTTTGTTTAGCTATGGGTATTCTTGCCACCTCTTCTTTATACTTCCTGCTTCTGTTAGCTCCATACCATTTCTGTCCTTTATTGAGCCTGTCTTTGCATGAAATGTTCCCTTGTATCTCTAATTTTCTTGAAGAGATCTCTAATCTTTCCCATTCTATTGTTTTCCTCTATTTCTTTGCACTGATCACTGAGGAAGGCTTTCTTATCTCTCCTTGCTATTCTTTGGAACTCTGCATTCAGATGGGTATATCTTTCCTTTTCTCCTTTGCCTTTAGCTCCTCTTCTTTTCTCAGCTATTTGTAAGGCCTCCTCAGACAACCCTTTTGCCTTTTTGCATTTCTTTTTCTTGGGGATGGTCTTGATCACTGCCTTCGGTACAATGTCATGAACCTCTGTCCATAGTTTGAAAATGCCTTGGCAGGTGGATTCTTTACCGCTGAGCCACCAGGGAAGCCCTATATCTTTCATATGTGTCTCTAAAAGATAAGAATTCTTTTAACATAATCATGAAATCATAGTATGAAAAGTATTTACATATGTAAAAAATGTAAACCTCCTCAGGAATATATGATAAACATTCTTGTCATTTACTTTTAACTCATGGTGGTGATTAACTTTCTTTCTACTCAAAACTTCTGAGAGTTTCCCTGGTGGCTCAGACAGTAAAGAATTTGCCTGCGGTGCAGGAGACTTGGGTTCAATCCCTGGGTTGGGAAGATCCCCTGGAGAAGGGAACGGCAACCCACTCCAGTATGCTGACCTGGAGAATTCATGGGCAGAGGAGCCTGGAAGGCTACAGTCCATGGGATTGCGAAGAGTCAGACACAACTGGGCGACCTTCACTTCACTTCAGGAACCATCAACCAACACTAACAATTATCAACCCATTTTTTTTTTCAGTTGAGGTATGTCCCATTTTATTCTGAAGCAAACCCCAAATACATAATTTCATCTGTAACTATTTCTTGCTGCTGTTGTTACTTAACTGCTAAGTCGTGTTCAATTCTTTGCAATTCATAGACTGTAGTATGCCAACCTCTTCTGTCCATGGGATTCCCCAGGCTTGAACACTGGAGTGGGTTGCCATTTCCTTCTCCAGGGGATCTGCCTGACCCAGGGATTGAACCCACATCTCCTGCATTGGCAGGTGCATTCTTCACCACTGAGCCACCAGGGAAGCCCTATATATTTCATATGTGTCTCTAAAAGATAAGAATTCTTTGAACATAATTGTGAAATCATTAACCTAACAAAATCCACATTAATTCCTTAGTATAGTTGAATATCCAATGTGTTCAAATTTCTGATTGTTTTGTAATTCCTCTTTTTCTTTTTTTGCTCCTCTCTCTCTCATTTGTTTGAATCGGGATCCAAAAAAGGCTCAAACGCAGCATTTTGGTTGCTCTGTTTCTTAAATCTCATTTAATCTGTAGGTTCTTCCTGTCATCTTTTTCTCCTGTATCATTTGTTGGAGAAGCCAGATGGTTTGTTCTGTGCATTCACTACAGTCTGAGTTTGCTGTGGATATCCTTATGATCTGTTCCTTTTCTGTATATTCTGTAAACTGGTAGTTGAACTGGCTAACTCTGTTTCTATTTCCTTGGCAAGACTGTTGCGTAGATAGCGTTGTGAATTGAGCACGCACAAACACAACTTTATTAGGGAAGTTTCCAAACACACAAGAAGAGAGGGAAGCATAATAAATCTCTGTATACTCGGATTAGTTTCACACAGCGGCTGTAACAAATGACCACAAACTTGGTGGCTTAAAATAACACATTTATTCTTGTACAGTTCTGGAGGCCAGAATTCCAAAATCAGTTTCTTTTCTTTGACTGAACAACACAGCACTCCTCAACCAGGGATTGAACCTGGGCCCTGAGCAGTGAAAGCTCAGAGTCTTAACCACTCGACAGCCAGGGAATCCCCCTAAAATCAGTTTTGATGAACAAGGAGTCAGCACTGTGCTCCCTCCAGAGGCTCCAGGGAGGAGTCCCTTCCTTGCCTCTTTCAGTTTCCGGTGGTGGCTGGCATTCTTGGGTTGTGGCCGTGTCTCTCTGCCTTTATGGCCACATTGCTTTTTCCTCTTCTGTCTGTCTCTAGTTTTACTCTCTTACTCAGATATTGGTGATTGCATTAAGGTTCACTTGGATAATCCAGGATAATCTCCCCATTTTAAGAGTGTTTGTTTATTTATTTATTTATTTATTTTGCGGTGCTGAACTATATTTATTTAGAACAAAACATTATATCCTACATTAAAAAAGATAATTTTATCAAAACCAAATTTCAATCACAGCTATGTATGACTTTCAGGTAAAGGTACATGTTGAAATTGCACTTTGCAGATATCTCATCAGTGTCCGTTCTACTGCTCCCCTTTCAGCACACGTTTTTATCAGCAGACATAGGTTCTTCCAGAGTTTTCTTTTGGCTTCCCTTCGGTGAATATTTGTATTTGTCTACATAGGCTTTAACCAGATTTGCCACTTTAGTAGAATTTACTTCTCCACTCTTACTATGACACACTTTATCTGCTGCTTTCCGTACAATCTCTTTATATTCTTCCTTGGTGATATCTTTATTTTGATAAAATGGCTTAATGGCCAATTTTACCTCCTGTGCTGCTTTTTCTTGAATTTGCAGTTTCTTGTCTGTCTTCGAGCTATCTGCGCTGGCTTCCACTGTAACACTTACTTTGCTTTCCGCCAATTTTACAGCAGCATTAGAAGCTTTGCTGTGACTTGATGACGCAGTATTACCAGAACTTGGTCCCTGAACTGTTCCCATATTTCCTGGGGCTGCTGTCGGAGCAGGCAAGACTGGTGTACTCATGTTACTACTTACATGAGAAGCACTAGGAATACCCTGCAACTGCTTTCCATCCGGCTGTGAAGCAATGTAGCTGACTTGCTGGGATGGTGGGGGAGGGGGCGGTGGTGGCGGCAGTCTCTGAGATAATCCGCTAGGAGCCGCCACCTGCATGAGAGGTACTCCGGTGTGCAGGTGCAAGGGCAGCTGAGGATGAATGCTGAACGGACTGCGCTGCATGTTCATCAAAGGAGCAGGAACACCCACCTGTTCAGCTGTTTCCTCGTCTTGCCTCATCCATCCAGACTGCGGGCCTGAAGAATTCCTCCCTCGTCTCGAGTAATAGTTCTGTACATCTGCTGGCAGAGTCTTTCTCACAGCCCAACTCGATGCAGATGTCCACCCCGACCTATCGGCTGGTGTATCAAAGGAGAACTCTTGCTCACTTTTCCGTTTATAGGGTTGCTGCTCCACAAATTTGAAAGTCTCATTCCCTGAACTATTTGAATTCCCTGAGAGGGGTTTTCGGTTTTGCCACCTGTTTTCATTTTGATCTGTATAGGCAAAACCACCTCTATGGTTACCTCTACCACAGTTACCTCTACCACGGTTAGACATCCAAGCTGAACTAAAGTTTTTATTCCAAGAATTCCCTGAATTCTCATTTCTATTTTCTTCCCAATGAGAATCTTTTAACTTTTCTGGATTTCTGGTCCTCGGATCAGGCCCAGAATTTATTTTTTCTGTTACCCAAGTGGGACAGTCATTTCTATGTTTGTCAGCAGAATTTGAATCATCAGCATCTGGACTGATGTCATTTTTTTCTTTTCTTGTATTTTCATTCTGTTTCTCTGAGTCACTCTTTCTGTATCGATCATTCCCTCGTGGACATCTCCAACCATCGTTTGCCCATCTTTCTTTCCATCGAGGAGAGTAACTGTTCCTGTCATTTCTACCAAATGATGAACCCTTACATTTTGTTCTAGATCTTGATGGTGACCTTGACCGTGATCTGGATCAAGACCACCTTCTCATTCTCCTTTCTCTATCTCGGTCTCTTCTTGACCCATCTCTATCACTCTCTTTTTCTCTGCTCCGGGACCTGGATTTTTCTCTTGGGGAGGAATCTTTCACTCTCGACTGAGATCTTCTGTTCTCTCTTTTTGGGGAGAGCGACTCAGATCTTTTGCCTTCCTTAGCACTATCTCTTTTTGGAGACCGAGACTGAGATCTCCTCCTTTCTCTTGCACTATCCTTTTTGGGGGACTGAGAACGAGATTTTCTCCGTCCTCTAACAGATTCTTTCTTAGGAGATGGTGATCGAGACTTCCTGCTATCTTTTCCAGTTTCTCTTTTAGGAGGCGGAGACTGAGACCGCTTCTTTTCCCAGGCAGTGTCTTTGTTGGGAGACCAAGTTGTAGACGGAGAGTGAAATCTAGATCTTCGCGTACGAGGCTTTTTGGCTTTATCTGTCACATCTACTGGGTTTTCAGATGGCTGAGATACAGTTTCAACCTTTTCATTTGGAGGATCAGAAGATGACATATTCTTTTGGGAACTGTGCTCCACAGAATTTTCACTTACTTGTTTAGCATCAGCATTTAAAGATGGATCGATTTCGGATTCATTTTGGTCACTGCAAAATGAATCACATTCCATAGGTATCATTTCATTATTATCCTCACTAAAATGCTTCTGAATCAGTGCAACGTGTGTTTTAGGCAATTCTGTAGATCTGGGATGTTCAACCAAAGATTCAGTCTTTTCTTCTAAAGATTTGTCCAATCTTTAAGTGTTAAGATTTTTTTTTAATAAATTATTTTCAGAGTCTTGAATACTATTGAGAGTTTCATTCCCTGAAGTATCACATGTTGCAATTATGTCTGCATCTTCATTTTCAACATGCCCAAGCAAATGAACCTCTAAACTCTCAATAGATTTTCTGTCCACTGCTTGTGTAACTCCACCCTCTGAAGATTCTAATTTGGGACTGTCAATAAGCTGTTCTGTTTTTACTGTAGAATCTCTATGATCAATAATATTTACTACAGGACTCTCCATAACTTTTTCTTCATTAACTATTGACTCCGCATTCTCAGGTAACTCACCTAAGCTTGATGCGGGTTGGTACACTTCAATTTCAGATCCTGAACATGTAAGAGAATCATTTGGAGCATGATCTATACATATATCTGCTTTTATTTCTGATTCTGAAGGTTCAGCTACTGGGTCTTGATTTCCCAATGAATCACTTCCTTTTTTGGAAGTACTTGCAGAAATCTCACCTTCCAGACATAAAACATTAACTTCTATACCTGTATTCTCAACTTCTTGAATTTCCTCCTCCCCTCCAAATAACACAGGAGGATCTTGGGTACCAGACTCAGAATGTAAAGTTTCTACTCTTTCCTCTGTATCATGGGTCTCAGCACATTCTTCACTCTCTTTTAATGGCTCACTGCAACTTCTTAAGCCATTAGCAGACTCATCTTCTACATTTATCTGCACAGTGTTAATACTTTCTACATCTGATTGGTGTTCTTTCTCTAACTCAGCTGGTATGTCAGGTTCTGCTACTTCTTCATCAACTGAATCACCGGAAGATGATTTTTCAGGGGTAGGCACAGAGCTTCGAAGTTTCTTTTTCAATAAAGGTAGTTTTCTTCCTCTTCTTACAGACTTCCGTTTTGGAGCCTGCCTTGTTTGCTTCTCTGACTCACCTGAAGAGGAAACACTTACAGATGGATTATTGTTATCTGGGGCATCACACCCAGAAATATTTGATACTGGGGATCTCTGAGACTGACTGACTGGTTCAGCTCTTGTGTTACGTGTAGATCTTCTTGTAGGTGTTGCTGCTGCAGGTTTTCGTCTTGATCCTCTGGTGTTTGAGGTACCAGAAGTTTGCTTCTTCTCTTCCCCTTCTTGAGTATGTGCTAATGCATAGCCTTTGCAAGAAGTACCAAAATTTTCTAAAGATATGGTACTTGTTGGAAGAATAGTTCTTGGCAACACAGAAGAGATGAGAGGAAGGACTTCTATTTCAATATTGCAGGGTATAAAACTAATTCTTCCAATTCCAGGTAATGTATCAGGAAACCATGACAATTCCAGTTCCTGTCTCTTCTGCCTAATCAAAGCACTGACTTCATTGACTTCTATAAATTCTGTACAGTAAGCCGTATAGGCAAAAGAAGATTCTCCAGTGTAACTAGAAGAAAAGACATTGGAGGAAAAATTCCTGAAGCACTGATTTGTACATGGATTTGATCCTCGAGGCTTGTTTGTCTTTATTATTGAATTTTTCTTTCCTCCCATTTCATTGTATTTAGAGTTTCTGTGTATCATCTTCAAGTCATAAAGTTTTGCACTTAATAGATCTTCTCTTATGATCTTTTTTCTCATACAGCTTTTAGAATTTTCCTGACAGGATAGCTGCTTCTTAAAAGAACTTTCATTTTTCTTGTCATTTGTTTCTTTCAACTGTCTTTTTACTTGAACCTTAACACAACCTTCTGATACACTGAATTTAAACACCGCCTGAAAAGGTTTCCGGTCAATAGGACATGAAGGCAGTGTCTCTGCCCATTTAAGAATACAGGTCAAGCAGAAGACATGATTACAGCTTTCTGGAAAACCAATTTCCTTCTCTAACAGGCAACTGAGACATTTTGGACATCTATCAGCTTCACTGGACAACACACTAGTGGTAGCAGTATTTTCTTTGTCTTCTTCACCTTGCATATCTTCATAGTCCTGATCGTCCACATTTAGGGCATATATAGTTTTCTTCTTCATTTCTCCTTAAAAAAGGATTTCCCTTAGGATTCTTCAGGTTGAGCAGTCAGGGAACCGGCTTTCCATCAAAGTTATCTCAGGCCGAGGTCGAGGCGCTGGTTCCGGCGGCGGCGGCAGCCCCACTGCAGGTTCCTAGGTCCCCGTCACGCCGCCGCCAAGTTCCCCAACATGGACTCCGTCCGCTTTGAGGTATTCCGCGGGCCGCTGAGGCGCCGGCTCTGCTGGCTGGCGCGGGAGGTGGCGGCGGTGAAGCAGGGAGCGGACCCGGGCTGCGCTGCTCCGCGCGGCTTGCGCCACCGCTGCTCCCCCTCCCCCCGCCCCGTCTGGCCTCCTCCCGCCCCGCTCCGCGCGTCCCCTTCCGCCTCCCCCAAGAGTGTTTATTTAATGATACTTGTCATGTAAGATAAAGTATACAGCTTCCAGGGATTAGGACCTGATATTTTTGTGGGCCATTATTCAGCCTACACAATACCCGTTCCCTAGATTCAATATTCTGCCTCTCTTTATTTTCTTTGTTCCTTTCATCCTTATCTTCCCTTCCCTTCCCTCTCCTCCACTCCTTTCTCTCTCTCTCTCCTTATTTTACTGTACTATTTTAAAGCAATTCCCTGTAATTCCATCTCTAAATATTTCCATATATATGAACATTTTCTCAATCATCAGGTCTTAACCACTGACTGCCAGGGAAGACCCTGAATTCGATTTTTATTTCTCTTGTCTCTTTTAACCCAAAGATTCATGGATTAAAAGTCCTCTCTCCATTCCCCATACCCTCTCTCCCCCCACCATGTAGTTGATCTGTTGAAGGAACTGCATCAGTTCTTCTGTAGAATGTCCTGGTCCCACATTATGGATTTGACTGCTTTCCTGAAACGCCTATTAATTTGTTCCTCTGTCACCCGCATTTCCTATGAATTGAAGGTTGGAGCTAAAGGCTTGATTAGGTTCAGATTTGGAAATGTGTTAAAGTAGAACAGACAGAATTGGTAACAGCATGGATGTAGGTGTGAACGAGAGGAGTCAACCTCAGTTTCCTCATCTGTAAAATGTGGCTAATGACCTCTGCCCACCTGCCCTGATTACTGATCATCTCAAAGAGGTGCTGAGCTGTGACTGCTCCGTGCACTCGCACGAGGGGCCTCTGAAAACCGGGCATGAGCCTGGGGCTGAGCCAGCTGTCCTGCAGTCTGCGGTCAAGGTTGACCCCAGAGGTCCCTCTGTCCCTCCTGGAGTGGCGGCTCTGAGAGTGGTGGCTGGGGCGCGGCTGAGAAGGTGAAGCCAGGCTGGAGGAAGAGGGCCTGAGTTGGGGAGCAGAGCTAGGACTCGACTCACGTGGACAGTTTGTGTGACGGTTAAACGCGATGAACAGACCACCATGTCCTTTTGTGTCTCAGGCCCTCAAGGCTCAAAATGCCTCCAAGGGAGACTAGGAGGGATGACCAAACGGGCGCTTGTTGAAGTCCCTCCAAAGAGGCCTGGGCTGCATCTTGAGATCTGAGGAGAGTGTGAATGAGCACGAGGATGAAGGCAACCCTGGGCAGGTGTGAGCGGGGGTTGTGACAGATGCAACACCTGAGTTTGTGAGCGTGTAGGTGAGTGTGTGTGTGGGGGTGTGTGTCTCTGTATGCTGGTTTGTACTGAGTGTGCAAGGATTGTGTGTAGGCGGTTTGAGTGTGTTCGACTGCATGTGATGGGCTGGAGTTGGGGGAGAGGGACAGATTTTTGGTTCCAGTTCTTTAGGGTTGAGCCACATGTTAGAGGTGACTTGTCCTCTGAGATCCATTTTTGGCTTAGATAAGGAACAGTGGGGTGGGTCCCAGTGAGTGGGAGGCGCCAGTCCAGACCCCCATGGTGGAGTTGAGGCTGGAACATGCATGGGGAATCAGGAGCCCCATCTCCTAGCTCTGCTTGGCACCTGCCCAACTGTGGGGCCCTGATCCTGTCTAGGCCCCTCCACCCCCACCCCACACACACCTATAAGGAGGCTGTCGGGTTGGCTGTTGACTGAATGGCTTGTTCCCTTAGTGTCCACTGCAGCGCCTGGGGCCTGCAGGCTCAATAAACGTTTATTGGTTGAAAGAAGGAGTGGATAAATGGACTGGAAACTGAGGTGGGGAGCTCGGGCCCATCCCTCACCTCTGTTCACACCCAGTCTCTGACATGGGACTCTGGCACAAACACACGCTCACTCAGTCTCACTTGTGATCACTTCCTCAGCTGCCCATACCTGCTCACCCTCTCCTGTTCCTACGGACTCACTCGCTGCCAGATTCCTGCCTGGGATCTTATGAACCTTCCTCCTCTGCCAGCCCAGCGCCGCAGGGCTGTGTGCCCATGGGTTCCTTGGTCTTGGCACTCCTTGGCCACCAGTGGGGCCCAGCCCGGCCATGGCACTGACCACAGCCATTCTTAAAATTTCCTTCCTTCCCATCCTCTTTATTTTCCAGCTGCCTCTCCTTTTCCTCCTTCGCTCCCTTTCTTTTGTATTGTCTCTCAGGCACACACACACGCACCCACACACACACGCATGTGCGCACACGCACCCATACACACACACGCACCCACCCACACACGCACACATGCACGCACACAGGCCCTCTCACTGTCCGAGTCATCTTTTTCTCTGTCACTCCCTTGCTTTTTGTCCTCGAATCTCCTCATCCCGCTCACGCTGTCCCTGTCTGTTTGCATTTGCCCGCCTCTCTCTGGGTGCCTCTCTCTCTCCATCTCTGAGCCGCCTCTCCCCTGACTCACATTCTCCTTTCTCACTCACAGCTCCTCTCTTGCTCACGCTCGTGCTAGGCGGCGTGTCTCTCTCCGCCCTGACTCTCTCCCGGTGGCCGCTGCCCACACCCCACCCTGCCCCTCGTTCTGGGAAAAACCTCCGAGCGGCACCCAGGGCCTGGGTGACCCAACTCGAGGTTCTGTAGCGTGCCCTTTCCGCTGGCGGGGCCCTGGGGTCACGGCATTTCCTCCTGGGGGTGACTTGGCAGTGATGCGCGCTGTTTCCTTACTTCTGCAATTACAGACAGCACAGAGCCCGCAGCTGCCGATATGCTCAGACCTCGCAGCGGCAGCCACTGCCCCTGGACAGGTAAGGGGGTCCCAGCCCTGGCCCGGCCAGGGGGAGGTGTGTGACAGCGCCCCCAGGAGGTCAAGGTCCTGTCCCTAGACTCCGCCTGAGCAAACGTGTGCCTTCTGTTTTTAAGGGGCTGCTCTGGCATCTTCCCCAGACCCAGAGGGTCTCATTTAGAAGGAATTCCTCATGACTAGACATTCCCAGGGAACCTGCTACCCCCTCTGGTTCTCTGAGGTCAAGGCAGCGCTGAAGTGACCTCAGAGACCTCCCTGGGAGGTGGTGGTGGTGGTGATGAGAGGGGGGCTACCTAGATCTCGGGGGGCTGGATGCTGTCTGCTTTAGTGGCCGTGTGGCCTTGGCCATGTCACCACCCTGCTCTCCATGCCTCAGTTTCCTAAAGTGTCAAATGAGGCTAATGCCGTCTCCCCAGCAGGAAGGTTGGGAGGCAAAGGGTCAGGTACCAGGCTGGGTATCTAGGAATTGACTAGGAGCTGGATTCTCCTGTGGGGATGATGAGGAAGATAACAGGGTGGCTGATACAAGAGTCCTGGCCCACAACCTGTTCCCGCCATCAGGTCGCAGGTGGTAGGGACGGAGCACAGGCTAGGAGCCCCTGTCCTTTGCCGGCAGGAGGTCCGGAGCGTGGGGAACGGAGGCTGCTGCTCAGACTCTTGCCTACTTGTGAAGAATGAGGGAACCTGTAGAGTTGCTTCCCAGAGCATTCAAGCAGCTCTGATTTAACCCTTGACTGAATACACAGCTGTTCCAGGTGCTTGGCATGTGTGTGCGTGTGTATGTATGTGTGTGTGTGTGGGGGGGCGCTAGGGAAACGAAAGAGACGTTTTTGCCTTTAGGTACTGACAACCCAGTGAAGGAAGGAAGCCCCGAAAGAGATGAGACAGCCTGAAGTGGGCAGTGGGGTTTTGGCATCAGCTCTTGCCTATGAGCTGGGACCTTGGGCAACTCAGGAGCGTCCCTTCCCTCCTTTGCATATTGGGGTTTAAGTACTGACCTGTGAGTTGGTGGGAGAGGATGAAGTAAGAGGCTGGTGGGAAAGTGCTTTGTCAATAGTAAGCTGGTGTGCAGACATGAGCCAGTATTACTGCTGGTACCGATGCTGTTATTCTTACCGTAAATGCCTTGTGGAGGAGGATTTGTTTGTTCCTCGTTTCATCCTTACTCTTCACATGGAGTTTGGCAAGTCATACAGTCTTGAAACATGAACTGAATAGGGAATGAGAAAGTAGTGTGTTGTACTGGAAGAGGATGGACAGTGAGCCTGAGGTCCAGCACCTGGTTCCAGCTTGGCTCCTGATTCTGTGGTCACTTGGGGCAAATCCTTTCTCTTCTCTGGGTCTCAGTTTCCCCATCTGTCCAATGAAGGTTTCGGTAAGAAAGCCACCGTCTCGGCAGCGTGTAGGCTAAGCCCCTCAGTCGTGTCCGACTCTTTGCGACCCCATGGACTGAAGCCCATCAGGCTCCTCTGTCCATGGGATTCTCCAGACAAGAATACTGAGTTGCCATTTCCTTCTCCAGGGGATCTTCCCCTTCAAGGATCTAACCCACGTCTCTTGTGTCTCCTGCATGGGCAGGCGGGTTCTTTATCACCAGCGCCCCCTGGGAAGCCCATAGACTATGGTCTACGGTAGTAATGTCGAAATGGGCCTCCAGGAGTGTTTCTACTCTGGACTGACGCGGGGCGGGGCCAGTGTGACGAGAGGCTGGGATTCTTTATGTCCTTTTATAGAAAGACTTTTTATGGAATGCCCTCTTCCTCCCTATCCTAACCCTGCGAACTCGCCCTTGTTGACAAGAAAGGGCTGCTTCTCTGTCCAGTGAAGTCCCTTCTTTCCCGGCCTGGTCTCTGCCTCCCCATGGGTATAGGGGGCACCCGCTGAGCTCCGGCCTGGGAACGCCCCCT